GGAATTGATGAAGCCATCGTGGTGTCCTAGTCCCAACGCTGACTCAATATTACGGGCGACACAGGACATACAGAGGGAACTGAATGCGGACTGTAACCTGCGTGACCTCAACATCATATATAATGTGATGATAACAGCCTCTAAGAGCAACGGAGAAGATAGAGTGGAGTTGCCTGGCTGGGGACCAGAAGACTGGGTCAAACCTGGTAGCTGTCTGGCGGAAGTCTGTGGACTAGAGGGTCACGTTTGTGGAAGTCTAGACTGTGTGAAAACCCTGGAGAAACAACACAAGCAGTTGACGGTATTGTTTGGAAATGTAGTGATGAAAGCAAGAACGGAAACGGAACTGATAGCAGATTGCCATGGAGGAACCGATGTGAATCTGGTGACAGCACTAGGATTCTACAGCATGTTTGGTTCTTTAGAGTCACTATTGAATCTAGAACAGAAACATGAGATGGTCACAGCCATCAGCGTAGAAGTATTCCCAGGAGTTCTGCAGACTGAGCAGAAGTATATAGGAAAATGGAGGGAAGCAATCGAAACGGAGATGAACATCAGACACAGCGAAACTTATTGTAGACCATCAGGAGCACGATATTTGGTGGGTTCAATGTTGGCTCCAATGTGCAAGAGCAAGTATCCTGTACATTTCGTAGCTGTGGATGTGAAGAGTACAAGAACGATTGTGGATCAAGCCTTTTCAGTGCCGAAGTGCGTGAGGTTGGCAAGAATGTCTGAAAAGTCTTACGAGTTACTGTGTAAGATTTTCTCAGCAGTTCCAGAAAGAACCAAAGAGGAGTTGGAGTCAATACTAGGAAAGAAGTTCATGGGATATGTGAGCGGGAACTTCAGTGACTTTGAAAAACAGAAACAGAGAGGATCAACTGTCACAGATTACAATGCAGTAGATGAGAATGATGAGATCCACCGAGTGATGATGGAAGTGGAGCCATTGCTGGAAGCTTCGGGAAAACGGAATTGGAGGAGCATCATGTTGACACATGACGAGTTTCCTTGCCACTGCTTGCTGCAGACCTGGTGGTATCCCAAGCGTAGTAATCTGGTGTTGATCTGGGACTCTGGAGAGCTGCTCTCCATGGGTTTACCAGATTCATCACAGCCCATAACAGTAGTGATAGTGGGAGTTATGATGGCGATACGATGGCTGGAAGCTCATGTGAGAGAAAATAATAGACAGGAGGCACCGACGAGAGAACAATTGCAGAAATTAGATTGTCTAAAAGATTTAGATCTTTTTGAGACAATGTGCAAAGTTCTAAACATTCCGATGGAAGTGAAGAAGATATGGGCAAGAAAACGATTGATGCCATGGTTCAGAGCTAACATGACTGCATGGTTGTACGAGTATGCGAAAAAGCATATGTCGAAGCATGGCAGAGTATACAGTGAATATCAACTGGACATTGGGGCAGGAGCTTTCAAGCGAGCTTTCGTGACCCATCGGAATGCAGTGACCACCGCTGTGAAAAGAATTTCCAGGACGAGCGAGCGTAGTGGAAATGAGAAGGCAGAGATGCTGAAAGAAGATTTGGAGAGAAACGTGACGTTGTGTCTCCACAACAGCTTCTGTAGAAACAGAGAATCAAACGTGGATCCCCTACCTTGCTGTAAACAGAGGGTGGAAGAGCAGAAGTGTTGGAGGACGGCTTCCAACAGCGTCAGGATAGTCAATGACGTGCTACAAGACACGGAAACCGAGAGTGCGGAGTCAGTGTCACAGGAGGAGGAAATGGAGCATTGACGAATGGTCGAGAAAACAAGAGGCAGCAAGAAAGAAAATTAGAAGAATTTAGAAGTTTTAGAACTTCTAAACGACGAAAAAAGAAGAGAACAAAGGGATGATGAAGAAAAGTTAAAACTCAGAATTGTTTTATGTGTGTGAAAAACTCAAGTGAGAAACCAAGCAACCAAGTTGTAATTGAAAACTGAAACATTTAAGTTGAGTTTGGAAATTGTTGCATTTATAAATTTGCATTTTGGTTTTAGTTGAAGTGGCTTTAGAGACACTCACTTATTATTTATTTAGAAAGGCTTGAGGGAAGAGTATATTTAAATATTCCAGCCTGCATGATTGTTTTTAATCACTTAGGAAGACTGATAACTTTGTGGTGACATGAAAAACTTGAGTAACTTCTTGAGGAGGGAGGTTGTTGCATTGTTCTTTCCAACCACAAAGTTTCTTAGTTTTAATACTCAGGACAATAGGCAAGCAAGATTTCCGAAGGGAAGGAGCATAGTAGGATAATTTTAGCTTGTTGGTTGGCAGGACTGTCCTGCAAGCCAACACCTTTTAAATCTAGGAGAAAAAGTTTCAATCGGGATATTGACACTGGAAGTCAGAAAATATGTTTTATCTTAAGTCATATCCTCAATGTGCAGATTAATGAAAGAATTTGAAGGCTATAGTGATGTAGTATGATGCCATTTATATTCTGCAGTGAGTCGATGTGACGTAGGTAAAAGTAATTTCGTGCATTTTGTAAATTCTGTTCGATGACACTGTAACCATTTAGAACATTGCGCGATTCAATGAGGACATTGACCGGACTGTCCGGGGAGTATGTGACATTCGACCAGAATGGCCAAAATGCAGTCTCTGCAGAATTCAGGATTTTAGCAGTGAACCTTCCGGATTGGCGATTTAGAACGGATAAGGACGTTATTTGAATGATTGGCCAAACGGTGAAGGCTAGAAGATTCTGGAATTCTAAATTTTAAATTTTCGAAGTGATGACGTAACATTTCTGAGAAATGTTAAAACGGCCATTTTGGCTAAAATAGCAGAAAGAAACAGAACAACTTTATCTGCGATTACGAACAGTACGAAAATCGAGACTAAAAAACAACAACGAACTACCGAACAGCAGAGGACGTTCCGAGTTGCAACTATTGTGCTGTTACAATAGTTGCAAGGCCGTTGCGAACAACGGTGAAGGGTAAAAACCAGCCCTCCGAGTTAGCGTGAACCTGAGGTTAAGGAGCTTGATTCGCCGGATTCAAGAATCCGGAAGGGTCTCGGGACGGGAACTTTTATGAACTTGTATTGAATTTTAGCATCCTGTCATGTCCTGACTTGAATTTAACTGATATTTTGATTAGTTTTGACAAGGATGAGGTGCTAGGAGTTGGGGGAAAGGGTTGATCCATCTTCGATGGAGATGATGATTTTTATCTACTGAACAAAAACAATAGTAATATAATAAGTAGTAGCCCTGTTTTTAGGAGTGACCTCGTGGTCTGGGGATACTGAGACCCAGCCATGAGCTCACTAATTTTGCATGTAATTCAGTTAATTTGAGCGTTTTGGTCGAAGCCGGAGAACAGTAACGTTTTTGTCAGCCTGATGTAAGAAAGACCACCGAAAAGTACTGGCTTGGTAGAGACGGTGAAAAACATGCAAAGCTCTGTTTAGACGCTAGCCAGTCGTCTTAAGACTTAGTTTTGTTATCCGTCGATATGTATCTTCCGGGCGAATGTTACATATCTAGAAGTTTGACCCTGAGGGACGCGAATATACGTGATTTCGGAGTGAAGTTTTGTTTTTCAAAAATTCGAAGGGAGCCTGTCATGCTCAGTTTTCTCGCGACAACTGAAAATATCAAATAAAAAAGCAGAACGACCTAATTACAATTGCGGGAAAGTTGTCAAATATATACAGTGGGAAATTGCTATTCGCAATTTCCATCGCTGAAAATTAGAGTAGAGCTGTCCTATCTGATATAGGAGACCAAACAAATACGAGAGCAGGGCTAGAATCAATTGGACCAGTGTGAACCTTCAACGGAAAGGCAGACAAGTGAAGTCTCCCAATGGTCCAGATCCAAAACTATATTCTTGAGTTAAAACTTACTTCCTTTGATTGGAACTCATCGTTAGGAAACTTCTTGAGTTATATTCGATTATATTTATGCTAGAGTCATTAATTAGTTTAATTGCTCTGTTTCTCAAGCGTGCTGCTATGTAAGTACCAAATTTAATTTTCTCGAGTTTGTTTTATGATTGTTATGTTGAGGTCAGGCGAGTTTTAGATTGATCCATCTAAAATGGATCAAAGTTCCACTGTCTAATGAAAAGTAACTTAACGGATTGTTCCGACCCTGTTTTTAACGGCGTTCGTGTATTTTGGGTATTTCGAGACCTAAGTATGGGAACGTTCTTATTTTCTAGAGTGGGGATATTTTGGTAGTGGCCTTTAAGCTGTAACGGGTTCTAGTCTCATGTCGCAAGCGAACCGAATTGGCTCCGACCGTTTTTGAGGTAGAAAAACAGAAGAGATAGTGTCCCTGACTCTTGAGCCAATGGTAATAGGGCCTATTTTTCTTAAGCCTCATATGTGACCGAAGTAGGCGACTGTTACACATATGTATGGCATTACTGCCACTATGGTTGAAAATGATACGCATTTCCTTTGAAGCTTTCTGAACATTGAGAAACTAGTTTCTTGCGTCAAATTTCCCAATGAGCAACAACTTAATTTTTTGTTATCTTGGGGAGTAGATCCACAGGAAGACCGGAGCATCCATCGTGAAACCAGCCGTCACAGATATCGCATTGAATCCAGTTCTCACCATCCCCTTTCTTGCACATAAGACAATGATCTTCGTCGTCTGATGTTGTTGCCTGAGCTCTATCTCCCACAGATCCATTCCTTGTTTTCATTGACATTCCACATCGACGTTTATCACAACAAACGTTTGTCTCATTTTATTTTTTGAGTTGTTTGGCATTTTTTTCGTTATTTGTCAATCTAAAGTATGTATGAATGTTTGTCATGTACTTTTTTTTGCATATTTTGCTTAAGTTAATTAATTTCCTCATAACTGCGCTGCTCTGGCGGTTCATCGATTGAGTTCCACGGATACCTGAGATCACGCAAAATTTAATTTTTAAAATGAATTTCAAGACTTTTGACTGTTTCAAACTAGTGATTTGACTGTTTTCTCAGTTTCGTAAAAATTATTTGTCGGCTCTAGAAGAACCCTTTTTTAGACTGGATGGCCTTAGTATGCTCATTATCAAATGAAATTCCGGAGAAGCCATGTGTCGCTCCGTCGTCTGGCAATGTTTACGAAAGGCGACTGATCGAGAAGTATATTAGTGAAAACGGGCCCAAAGATCCGATCAATGGCCAGCCGCTGGAGCTGGATCAGCTGGTTGATATTAACTTAGCTCAACCGGTTAAAGCGAAACCTCCGTCTGCTACCAGTGTGCCTGCGATTCTCAAAGCGCTTCAGGCAAGTTATCGATTCGGTATGACAACCGTCTCTTTTTGTGACAGGTTAAGCAGGTTTTTTCAAAGAATTTTCGATAAAAAATCTAGTTGAAAGAGCAAAGAAAGAAAAAGTGGGGGATATTACAGAATAGAGCTCAATTTTCAAGCTCATTGTTGATACTGCAAGTTACTCGTTATATTTCAAAGTGAAAACGCCTGAAGAATACAAACAGGTATAAGGGAAAAATTCGCCCCGACAATGTCTTAAAATAGAAAAAACTCAATTATCTCAACACTTTTTTTTAGGATGAATGGGATGCTGTAATGCTGAACTCTTTCACGCTGCGACAACAGTTGCAAACCACGAGACAAGAGTTGTCCCATGCTCTCTACCAGCATGATGCTGCTTGTCGTGTGATAGCTCGTCTAACTAAAGAAGTCAATGCCGCTCGAGAGGCTCTCTCTGCGTTGAAACCCCAAGCTGGTGTAACACCTAATATTTCAGCAGCTGCAATAACTCCGAATAACTTGTCGCAGATGCAAGCGAAAGAAGAATCGCCTGCATCTCAGGCGCCAGCACAAGCATTGGCCCTTGCGGAACCAATTGGTATGACAGATGACATAATCGCGAAGCTGAATGAAAATTCAAATCATCTGACAACTGAGCGAAAGAAGAGAGGTAAGACCGTCCCAGAAGGACTAAACACTGTCGATGAAGTGAAGAAGTTCGAGATGAAAGCATCGCAATCTGGACTTCATAGTGCGAGTGTTCCTGGAATTTTGTGCTTGGACGTATTTCAGGTTAGCTGTTTCATTAATTTTTCAAAACTTTTCAATCAGAAGAAATACCACTTCAAATAGGTTGTTAATGACAATGTTTAAGCAAGCAAATTCAGCTCTTTAACAGTACCCGCTTTGCTTTTTTACTAAAACTCAGTTTAAGAACGCCTATTTGAAGTAAGGATAGCCAGTTGCTGTGTAACTAGCACAGAAAGTTCCTACCACACCTAAAAAGTTTTTTTTTCTAAGTTGTGTCGTTTGCTGCTCGTGGAGTGATGAGAGGATCTGAAGGAAACCTTATTTTCTGCAAAATTGTTATTTGAGTAATTTTTCAATCACATAAAAGCTCCAAATATTATTTCGAAATATGATTTTGCTGTAGTTTTCACGGCTTAAATAAAAACTTATCACCCTTTTATCAGCTCGAAATTAGACTAAAAATCAAAATTTTGAATTTTGGGTTTTTTAATGCGTTTGAATCGCGACTGAAAGGTCTTCAATTTGATATTTCGTCCTACTTATTCCGATAATATTTATGATACTTGATTTTGCATGGAAAAACAGAAATAGTTTACGAAGTAGCACCAAGTGTTCCGACCACATTCATAAAAAAAACACAAAAAAATATATATTTTTTTAACTTCAAATTAATGTCACTTTATGTGCGTGTGGAATGATGAGAGAACTATGAAATTGAGTAGAAAGTAAAAAGTTCAGGTAAAATCGACAACAGTTGTCTCAAAAAATGATACCTTTTGCACAGTTTTTTGAAAAGTGTTTATGCCAAGGAAGCGCTAAATGAAGCTCCTGAAACTAGTTTTCGTTTGGTAAAATAAACTTTTCTTAGATTTAAATGATCATGTTTCCTATAACGAACATTCGAAGTTAGACTCGCTCGAAATTAAACTAATAGTCAAATTTTCAAACCAGTCTTTCTCGACAAGGATAACTTATCGAGTTTTTAAAATGCTGATAGAGTCACGACTGAAAATGCTTGAATATAATATATTACTTGGTCCATTCCGATGATAATTTGTGGTACCTGATTTCACTTGGAAAACAAAAAATTGAAAAATTAAAACACCCGAATACAAAGTTCTTCTACACTGTCAGTGGTCGGAACAGGGAATTTCAATGCTTTATCAAACTAGTATATAGAATTTTTTCGGTTTATTAACTTGTTTAACAGAATCACTGAATTTATTGGTATCTTGACTCATAATGAACTCAATTTCTAAGCGGCTCTAAGTAGTCTGGAGGTAAGCAATACGCCTGGGACGCCAAAAGTCTTGGGTTCGAAACTGACCGGCCTTTTTTTTCAAACGGGAAATAGTCCGTTTCAAAAAAAATTGTCTTCTTATTATTGTCTGCTGATGTTTTGTCAGCTTAGTTGCCCTTTTGTAGATTTTTTTAAAAAGTTTTTTTTTACAATATACTTGCCTTTATTGTTCTGATTAACCTCAGCTGTTTGTATTTTTACTATACGTTTTTTTTTCGCCTAGAAATTTAGGTTAAAAACCTAATTTCGAGTCGTTTCATCGGAAAAAATTTTTTTTGCCTATTTCTGGATCGCGCAAAATGCTAAATTTTTAAATAGAAATGAATTTAAGTTTTTCATAACATTTTTTCCGGCTTTTTTGATTTTTTCCTTGTTTTGGCTCGATAGGTTGCGGCGTATATTGTATCGGCTTATTGGCCTCATATTGCTTCTTTCGACAAGCGAAAAATTTTTTGTGTGTGCGTGTTAGTGTTTTGAGGTTGAGGGGGGCTTAACATCTTACTAGTCTTAATGTTTTTTTTCGGGTTTTTTTTCCTACTTTGGACTTGATAGGTTTCGACCTATTCTATGTCGGCTTAGTGTCCTTATATTGTTTCTTTGACGAGCAAATGAAGTGTCTGAAGTCTTGCTGATTTTTTTGGCCTAAAGGGTTTCTGACAAGGTTTTTTTAGGCTTTGTTACCGCTGGATACATTATCTTCCGATGCTCATTTCACATTCAATTGTCGTGTCATGTTTTTGTTTCAAAACTAATCTTATTCATTTTATTAGATCTAATTTTTTCGACCTTTTCGGTTTTTTGTTTTGTATTGCAAGTGATGCGAAGCTCAGCTTCGCCTCTGTGTCGAAAGTAAGGAAACGTACGGGTGAAGAAGTAAATATATTTTTTCAATAAATACATGATAATTGCCACATGAACAAATTGTAAAGACTTTGTAATTTAACGAAGGGATGAGAAGTGGAAACGCTCAATTTCAGTATTTGGGTACTTTTCCTGTGTAATAACCGCACATTTGTTGGCTGATGTTTGGAACATAGCTAGGACACATGGAACAATTGTCGTTACATTAGACTCTAAATCTGTTGGTTGGAGGACAAATTATACTTCTAGGACAAATTATACTAAGCTCCATTCTGCCAGATTTTTGGTTTCGGTTGCGAAGTGCAGTTTAGTTTCTGCGTTGAAGTTTATCAACGTCATTTTAAGGCGGACGATTCGAAGATTGACTCATTTGTAGATTGCAAAAAGGCTCCAAATGAAACTTCGAAAGATGATTTTACTGTATTTTTTAAACAAGTAGCTCCGAATGTTCCTAGCATAGTCAAATAAAATTACAAAAATTAGGTTCTAATTAATGTCGTTTCTTGTGCACGGTGTGACGAGAGAACTGTATAATCGCGTACAACATAAATAATTTAGTCATATTCGACAACAGTTGTCTCATTTTTCAAAGCTTATTGACTTAATTTTGCATTTTTTGCCATTTTTAAGCTCCCTTCTGCCAGATTTTTGGTTTTGTTTGCGAAGTGCAGATTAGTTTCTGTGTTGAAGTTTATCAACGTCATTTTTAAGGCGGACGATTCGAAGATCTTGACGGGTGGTGTGGACAAACTGGCCATCGTGTTTAATCGGTCATCCGAACAAATCGTCTCAACACTGAAGGGTCATGCAAAAAAAGTTACGCATGCTGTCTACCATACTACGCGTGATGTGGCTTTCACGGCAAGTGCCGATTGCACCGTGGCCACGTGGAACGTCCCGGAAGCGTCGTGCTCCAACGTCATTAAAGCCCACGCGTTGCCAGTAACTGGACTGAGCTTGCACGCTACTGGAGATTACATTCTGAGCTGCTCCGAAGACAAACACTGGGCCTTTTCTGACATTAACTCAGGACAAGTGGTCTCAAAAATCAGCGAGTCAGGTGACCATACCCTAACATGTGCGCAATTTCACCCCGATGGTTTGATTTTCTCAGTGGGTACTTCGGATGCAATGGTAAAGATTTGGGACTTGAAGTTCACCTCGAATAATGCTGTGGCTACATTCCCTGGTCATTCTGGACCCATATCGGCAATTTCGTTTAGTGAGAACGGCTACTATCTTGCTACGTCTGCAGACGACGCACAAATTAAACTGTGGGATCTGCGAAAACTGAAGAACTTTAAAACTATTCAGCTTGACTCGCAGTATGAAGTGAAGTCTCTAGCCTTCGATCAAAGTGGAACCTACCTGTCTGTAGCTGGTACAGATATTCGAGTCTATTTGTGCAAACAATGGGACGAACTTTGTATTCTGACTGATCATTCGTCTTTAGCAACTGCAGTCAAATTTGGAAACAGCGCGGACTTCCTGTGTTCTACGAGCATGGATAGAACGTTGAAAATATATGGATCGTCGAAATACGAGCAGAAACGAGGATAAATTATGGCAGAACTTTTAGCAATGATTACCTTATCTTTTTCAAGTTCATAGGTTGATTGAGTTTAAATGTGGCCGATAAATTTAAGCCGGTTTAAGGTACCGATCTTGTATGATTTACGACTAGATGTCCGAGAAAACTTCGCCTAAATTGATGGTGATATAATTGACTTATTGTGAGCAGTTTGATATTTGGTTTTCTCAATTATGTTCGTCTCTCATTTTGTTATTGTTGTCAATAATTTAAGCGTCTTTTCGTTACTTCTTTTCAAAAAAAGTTTTTTGAAATGTAGTCAGCCTATGCATTTCATCGAAATATTGGACGCCATAGTCTATCCATATAGGAATTATCGTTTTGACCTAGATAGATAGAATTTTGTGCTCAGGTGTTTTCTCCTATAGACTGGGTCAAGAATATATCATAAAAGCCCCTTTTAAAATTTTTCGAGTAGTAATTAATAGTTTTGCAACTGTTTTCTGTTTAGAAAAAGTTAATTGGTTCTGGACTAGGGATTGTTATTTTTCTGTAAGCAACTATTATTGAAGTTGCAAGGGAGTGTTGTTAGATGTAGTTTTAGGGGTACTTAACTTATTTAAAAAAATTTTTTTTCCGGCTCCTTGTTTCTGCTCGAAGATTGTCGGTTTGTTTCATCTTTGTAAGTTTTGTTCTGTTGCTAATTTAATGTTCAATTGAATGGAATCTTTTGCCTAAAATGAACTTCTATCAAGATTTACATAAATTTTGCTAGACTTAGTTTTTTCCACATCTTCTTTTTTTCGACTGATTATTTATGTTTGTGTTGTCGCAAGTAATGCGAAATGATACAAAGACTTAAATTGATAGTAAACTTTTTCCGTGAATATCTTTGTACACATGACTCATCTCCTGGTACCCTCTGTTAGAAATATTGCACCAGACATGATTTGAGCATGTTAGCATTTTAATTATCCGCCGTAATTACATAAGCGAGCTAGCGAGCGAAATGTAACAGCATGAATATGCTTTTTCAAGCAAAGTCGCAAATAAAAGTGCTCTTTCGGTGGCACTTGCTATAATTGCGATCTGTAGCATTGGAAATTTCATAGAATCTGTTCTTGCTTTATTGGGGGTTAGTTTTTTCAGATAATAAAGCAACCGCGGCGCCGATGGAAGGACTCCTAGTGTACACGGAAGTGCAATGCCGCTCATAACATTAGTTTTAATTACTGTTTTACTTAAGTCGCAAATAAAAGTGCTCTTTCGGTGGCACTTGCTATAATTGCGATCTGTAGCATTGGAAATTTCATAGGATCTGTTCTCTGATTTATTGGCGGTTACTTTTTGCAGATGTTAAAGCAACCGCGGCGCCAATGGAAGGACTCCTATTGTACACGGAGGTTCAATGCCGCTCATAGTTTTACTTACAGTTGGTGGAACTTCTGCCACATAGCAATGAAATTATATATTTTTAGCATCTGTAGCTGCTTTATTGGCGATTGGCGTTAGCAAATTTAGGGGCACGTGGCGCAGATGTTTTTTTGTTAGTTGTATTCTCACCAACTCGATTTCATTTTTTATTCGGTTTTTTAGCATTTTTTGCGTCGTTTGATGAGCGAAAGAAAATTGTGTGCATGTCTGGGTATTTTGAGGGGGAGGGGACTTACAAGCGTTTATAAAGTGTTTCTGATAGTTTTTTTCGGGTCAAAGGGCTCAGGTATTTGCGGCATTGTGTCTGCTCAGAAAATTTTGTGATACTAATTTTCTTAAGCATAGCTCCAGTTCATTTGATAAGTGCGAATGTACCAATAAACGCAATTGTTTTTTTTTTGTACAGTTTTTTTCGGCCTAGTTGCCTCTTGTGTAATCCACTTTCTTTGTAATCCATATTTTTTGATGTATTCCTGTATTTTATAAATGTAATGAATCTGATTTTTGTAAATGACCTAATTTTGCGCCATTTTAAGGCGAAAAAGACTTATTGTTTCTGGAGGGAAAAATTTAGAATTTCATTAGAGTTTTACCTAATTTCTGTCAGTCAGTTGCCGCCGGATAACTGTTTCTAAATAATCATTTAACGCCGGTGAGTGTGTTTCTGGGTTCGTTTTTCTACAATGAAAGTCATTTGTTTTTGAAGTTGCAAGAGCAATGTCTTGTAATCGGGAACTATACTTTTTCACATAAAAAACTTTTATAACTAGAATTTAAATTTGCTTCATTATTGAAGCTGTACAAATTCCTGATTTCGTCCCACTTGGACGGGAGGTCACGAGGTTGCTGTTGCGTCCTGGTTTAATGGTCGAATCTCGACAGGGCCTTGTTTTTCGATGTATAGTATTTTTTTCGGTGAAAGTTGCAATGTCGAACATTTGTTTGTCTGCTCAGTTTTTGTCGGCTTGGTAATATAAGTTTTGTTGTGATGTAAGCGAGTATCATTGTTTTTTCAAGTGTTGTTTAGTGTAGTTTTAGGAGGAGATGAAACTTCTTGAAGTTTATTCTATAAAATCATTTTCTTTTCCGGGTCAACTGGCGTCTGCTCAAGGATTGTCGGCTTTGTTTCCACAATGTAAGTTTTGTTCCCTTGCTAATTACGCTTTTTTCGGGTTACAAACTTGATTAGCAGAATCGCTTGGTATCTTGGTTCATATTGATTGCAAATTTCTAAGCGTCTTCGGCAGATTATTCTGGAGGAAACGAATGCGCCTGGAACGGCTAAGGTACTGGGTTCGAATCTGACCAGGACCTGTTTTTTTTTCAAACCGGAAATTTTTCCTCTTCAAAAAATGGCTTATTATTTGTCTGCTTATGTTTTGTCGGCTTTATTGCCACATCTTAGAATGTTTTTGCTGTATTGCAGGACAACAAATTTGTTTTCACTTGATATGTGAATTTTCATTAAACGCCTTCGAATGTGTTTCTGGGCGTAATTTCCGCTAATAGAACATCATTCCAGACAACATTTTGAATGTCGTTTGATGAGCGAAAGAAAATTGTGTGCATGTCTGGGTATTTTGAGGGGGAGGGGACTTACAAACGTTTATAAAGTGTTTCTGATAGTTTTTTTCGGGTCAAAGGGCTCAGGTATTTGCGGCATTGTGTCTGCTCAGAAAATTTTGTGATACTAATTTTCTTAAGCATAGCTCTAGTTCATTTGATAAGTGCGAATGGACCAATAAACGCAATTGTTTTTTTTTGTACAGTTTTTTTCGGCCTAGTTGCCTCTTGTGTAATCCACTTTCTTTGTAATCCATATTTTTTGATGTATTCCTGTATTTTATAAATGTAATGAATCTGATTTTTGTAAATGACCTAATTTTGCGCCATTTTAAGGCGAAAAAGACTTATTGTTTCTGGAGGGAAAAATTTAGAATTTCATTAGAGTTTTACCTAATTTCTGTCAGTCAGTTGCCGCCGGATAACTGTTTCTAAATAATCATTTAACGCCGGTGAGTGTGTTTCTGGGTTCGTTTTTCTACAATGAAAGTCATTTGTTTTTGAAGTTGCAAGAGCAATGTCTTGTAATCGGGAACTATACTTTTTCACATAAAAAACTTTTATAACTAGAATTTAAATTTGCTTCATTATTGAAGCTGTACAAATTCCTGATTTCGTCCCACTTGGACGGGAGGTCACGAGGTTGCTGTTGCGTCCTGGTTTAATGGTCGAATCTCGACAGGGCCTTGTTTTTCGATGTATAGTATTTTTTTCGGTGAAAGTTGCAATGTCGAACATTTGTTTGTCTGCTCAGTTTTTGTCGGCTTGGTAATATAAGTTTTGTTGTGATGTAAGCGAGTATCATTGTTTTTTCAAGTGTTGTTTAGTGTAGTTTTAGGAGGAGATGAAACTTCTTGAAGTTTATTCTATAAAATCATTTTCTTTTCCGGGTCAACTGGCGTCTGCTCAAGGATTGTCGGCTTTGTTTCCACAATGTAAGTTTTGTTCCCTTGCTAATTACGCTTTTTTCGGGTTACAAACTTGATTAGCAGAATCGCTTGGTATCTTGGTTCATATTGATTGCAAATTTCTAAGCGTCTTCGGCAGATTATTCTGGAGGAAACGAATGCGCCTGGAACGGCTAAGGTACTGGGTTCGAATCTGACCAGGACCTGTTTTTTTTTTCAAACCGGAAATTTTTCCTCTTCAAAAAATGGCTTATTATTTGTCTGCTTATGTTTTGTCGGCTTTATTGCCACATCTTAGAATGTTTTTGCTGTATTGCAGGACAACAAATTTGTTTTCACTTGATATGTGAATTTTCATTAAACGCCTTCGAATGTGTTTCTGGGCGTAATTTCCGCTAATAGAACATCATTCCAGACAACATTTTGAAGTTTTTTTAATTGTGATTTCTTAGAACATTTTCCCGTTTTCCTTAGACTTAATGGCTCTCCTGTCCTTTCCTGTCTGCCAGCTTGCAATGCTATTTTTTTTGCTATCGCAAGTGTTGAAATTAATCAAAAACTGCACTGCTGATTTTGAAAATAAGGGTATCAATGGACAGACTGTCTAAAACCCTGTGTGCCTGCAGTATCCTCTAGTCTTTTTTTTTACTTTACTTCACTGTCTACAGCTTTCGCAAAAGTCTGTGGGGAGAATAATTGGCCTATATTTTAGGTTTTTTTTTTCCATTTTCTCAAAAACTGCTTTCCTAAATCTGATATTTTTGGTTTTAATAGATAAAAAGGGTTGTGGAAAGCTCCCTGCATTAGCGCTACGCCCATTTATTTTACACAAACCTCTGAATAAGCGAACACTCGGAAATTTGTTTACACAAAAAATTATCGCCATCGAAAAAGTCAAACTTTTGCTTTTTTGACCGTTTTTGAATTTTGTGACTTTTCTCGAATACTACGCTCCCAATTCTGAGATTTAAGGTTTAATCCAAAAAAACGGGCTGTAGAAAGCTCTTTCGCTTCAGTGAACACAACAAAAATTTTCTGCCCTCGGAAAAAAAACAAATTTTTGATTTTTTGACTTTCTTTTTTGCTTTTCTTTAAAGCTACCCTCCAAAATAGGAGATTTGGGTTCGATCGAAGAAACAAGTTGTTTGAAGCTTCCCTGCATATTCGACTGTCCAGTTTTCTTTAAAAAATCTTATGGATTTGGAAAAGTCAATTTCCTTAATTTAATGTTTGCGAAATTATTCGACTTTTCCCCAATTCTGTTTTTGCGTTCAATTGAAATAACAGGTTGTGCGCATCTACAGATGCGGCTACGCACAAATTTTTTGACACAAAAGTCTGTGATTCCCGGAAATTTTTGATTCATTGACAGTTGTTGGCTTTCTTGACAACTAACCTGCAAAATCTGATAACAACGTTCAATCAAAACAACAGATTTCGACTGACCTTTAACTGGTTACGCTTAATTTTTTTAGACTTTCGATTTTTGAGTTTGTTGGAAAATTTTTGAATTCTCTTGAAAACTACTCTGCCAATCTCAGGTTACAAGTTCGTTTGAGAAATTGGGTTGGGGAATCTTCTCTGCTTAAGCGACCATGAGCTTCTGGTCCCAGGAAAAGTTATGGATTTGGGAAATTCAAGTTTTTGAACGTTTGGCTGTTTTTTTTGTCTTTTCTTAAATCCTTTCAAATCTGAAATGAACGGTGGCGAGAAATGTCCTGCTGAAGCGGCGACGTCGTTCTGTAAGAAAATTGTTGGTATTTGGAAAATTCTAATTTCTCTGAAATTTTCATTCTTCTCACTTATTTCAGTAGAGAAACAGCTAAGATTTTGGGCAAAGTTCAATGTTTTGAATTTGTTTTATTTGGGATAAAATGGGTAATTTGAAAAATATCAAAGAGGTGCCTTCTTATCTGGACCCGTTGTTAAGTTTTATCGAAACATACAAAAATTTTGGTTCACATGACTTTTTAACTATTTTCATTTTTTTTCTTTTTTTTTTGCGTTGAATTTGCGTTGTAAAAAGATAATCAATCATGAATCGTTCCTAGGATTGACCGTACAACCCCCCCCCCCTAGTTACCTACCGTCGAATGCCCTCCCCTAGCATGTATTAATTCTGCATGAATTATACACTTCATACAAACGCAAAAATAAAATAGGTTTTTACTTTTTAAGCAGGATTGCATTTGTATGCTGTTCAATGTACAAATTAATGTTTTAATTACCCTTTCGATGAGCAAGGGCGTTGCAATCGGGTGCCAGTTTTTTTCCCGGTGAATAACTTTGGGCACATTTTTCGCACTTGAGAATGTTTCACGTGGTTTACTGGAGAGGTAAATGTAGTGGATGCATGTTAGGCATGGGCCTTGTGTGCCTTTTATGAGTTCATTTAAAAGTACTTTGCCGACATTTTCGTCGCTTGAATGTCGGCTTTAATTCCGTCGGTTTATTGTTTTTTTTTTCAATCACTTCTTGTTCTTTTTGTAAGAATGGTTGAAGTCTTACAATATGTTTTGGAAAAAACTAAATCAATTTCCCAGGCCCTTTTTCTTAATAAAAATATAAAATTAAACTAAAAAAGTTTCAAATTTTTCTAAAAAAAAAACAAAGAAATAGTTTTTTTAATTAATGTAGACTGATTGTTCTGCTGCTTGCACAACCAGCGGACATTTTGATCCAATGGTGTTTGAATGGAGCCAGATGTGAGAGATAATCATAGTTGATTGTCAATCACTACCTAAAGACCGTTAGTTTAAGCAATTTGAGTTCGCTCTTTATCATGAGACACTGTTTACGTAAAAATTATTCATTTGTTTTAATTGTTCTGCGAGAGCTAGTGACTTGTAATTGGAAACAAGACTTTTTCACGCTCACAAATTTTGTTACAAATCTAAGAAATTCAACTTGATTTATTATTGGAATTCTGTGCACTTTTTAGGTTCTTCGGACATGGTCTAGAAGTAACGCAATTGCATTTGCACCCTACTGTCAGTTCCCTGTGGGGTTTTTTTTCTGCTTGGTTGAAATAGATGTTTTTACTGAGAAAAATTGAATTACCGGAGTTTCATATGCCTACTTACTTTTTTGGCCTAGTTTTCAAAGCGTGAAATTTTTTGTCTGATTTATACAATTCTTACGTTATTGGACAGTCGTCCTCTCATTTTTTCAATTAAAAACATGGATTTTGAATAAGTGTATAATTTTAATTAAAATTAACACGACCTAAATATTATTGGCTTAGTTAGCTTATTTTTTCGTTTGAAGGACAAAAATTAATTTATTAAATTTTTGTAAAACCAAATCGCTCAAAAAAAAATTATTTTGGACAATAAGTTTATATGGCACTTAGTTTTTTGTTTTCAGGTCAGATTTATGTCTACCCAATTTTTGTAGGACTAGTGGTCGCTAGCAGAATCAAAGCTTTTTTATTGCCGTTGGCTGTGTTTCTCGACTGTTTTTCTGAGATAGCTTTTTAAAAACTTTTTTTTTCAGTTTTTTAATTTTTTTACGAAATAAGGATTTCCCTCTCATTTTATATTCGCTAGCCTGCAATTTTCTTTGGTTTTATTCAGCTCATTGAGCTTATCCAAAAGTCTGGTGTCATCTTTTTGATCAATCTTCTATGTTCGATAAGTATGGATAATTACTAACCAACACACTAAGTAAGTATATTACAGCGAGAAATTTGAGTTGTCAAGTTCTCGGGAAGACGTTTTTTTTTGTCATGTAGAATTTATAATTGAATGATAAATTGATGCGAAGTAGTTACATTTGCGAGTGGTTTTGTAATCGGAAACTAGACTTGATTTCCCTGTAAAAAAACTTTCCCTGTAAAAAAAACGCGATTGCCTTTGCACCCTCAAGCCCAGAATTCAAGTCCCAGCTTTTTTTTTCATTTTGAAAGTAGACATTTTTTCCGTGAAAAATTCAACTGTCGGAGTTTCGTGTGTCTGTTTATGTTGTGCCGGCTTAGTTACCACAGCGAGTTTTGTTTAGCTGTTTTAAGTGGTTTCATTAGTAGCAAATGCTACTGTTTTCTTGTAATTTACTTGCCCTGAACATTTTCCTCTTTTTTCCGCTTAGAAGCCCTTTCGGACTAAATAAATAGTTCAGGCTTATGTTTTATTGGCTTTTTCAACATTTTTTGTGTCTTTTGATGGGAAAAATGATCCTTTTCGGTTGTGGTGTTAAAGTTCAAAGTTTTAAAATTTAGTCGCTCAAAACTTGTTTATGACATCAATTCTTTTTGGCATTTCTCTGTTTTCGGCTACTTCGGCATCTACCCATGTATTGTTGACTTGTGGCTGCTAGATAAATAGTAAAAGATTGCTAAAGCTGCTGATTGTGTTTTTCGACAGTTTTTCTAAAATTGAATTTAGTTAATTTTTGACCAAGCTTTTTCCATCTCAATTTTTATTCGCTATCTTGCAATGCTACGCTTGCATTGTATCGCAAGTAGTAAAATGTTTCCAGCCCTTGTTAGTCTTGAACATACAAAAGCTGCGAGCATGGCTTGGGCTGAGTTCTTAATGGTATCCCTTTGATTTGGCGCAACTTGGCAGGGCATGGCTCGGGCTGATTTCTTAATGGTATCCCTCTGATTTGGCGCAACTTGGCAGGGCATAGTTTGGGCTGATTTCTTAATGGTATTCCTCTGATTTGGCGCAACTTGGCAGGGCATGGCTCGGGCTGATTTCCTAATGGTATCCCTCTGATTTGGCGCAACTTGGCAGGGCATGGCTTGGGCTGATTGCTTAATGGTATCCCTCTGATTTGGCGCACGGTGGTGCAGCTTGGTTTAATTTTACGCTGCCATTTTTGCGCAATGTTATAAATTGGAGCTTGACTTAAAGATTCAAAACTTAATTCTATTTTTGGCAGTTCTTAATTTTCGACAGTTCTTAATGGTATCCCTTTGATTTGGCGCAACTTGCCAGGGCATGGCTCGGGCTGATTTCTTAATGGTATCCCTCTGATTTGGCGCAACTTGGCAGGGCATAGTTTGGGCTAATTTCTTAATAGTATTCCTCTGATTTGGCGCAACTTGGCAGGGCATGGCTCGGGCTGATTTCTTAATGGTATCCCTCTGATTTGGCGCAACTTGGCAGGGCATGGCTTGGGCTGATTTCTTAATGGTATCCTTCTGATTTGGCGCAACTTGGCAGGGCATGGCTTGGGCTGATTGCTTAATGGTATCCCTCTGATTTGGCGCAAAGCGCTGGTGCAGCTTGGTTTAATTTTACGCTGCCATTTTTGCGCAATGTTATAAATTGGAGCTTGACTTAAAGATTCAAAACTTAATTCAAGTAAGAGATTCTTGAGGTAATAAAAAGTTTAGCTTTCTAAAAGGCTTTCTCAAAATTGGTTTGTTTATTAAAGAAATCCAGTTGAATCAGTCTGACTTTGAAAACGCTTAACAGTGATGTAATTCGATCCAAATCGAAAATAAGCCGTTAGGTATATTTGAGTTTGTTAAAACTTACTATCTTCCTGTTTTTCCAAGCTTCCTAGGTTTTTTCATATCACATTTTTAGCGGAAATTGGAATAAAAGTACAACGACAAACATTGATTTAATTTTTACTTAAAATTAATGACAGTGCTTAGGAAAAAAATTAGTTCTTCTGCTGAAAATATTTGCGAGTTTTTCACGTATTGTTTATGAGCTGGCCGCGTGTGCCATAGTTTTAAACAGGTGTGTGAATTGATGACTTGGTAAATTTTTTTTCTGTAAGCGAACTGGAAAGTTTTTTAATGCTTTCTTGTCTCGTGTTGCATCATTTCGACTGCGTGAGTCTGATCTGAGCATTGTTGGAGTCAGAAGTGTGAAAATACTGATTGTCAAGAGAACAAAGTGATTTTTGGCGAGCTTGGTCTATATTAATACTTAGTTGTCAATATATGACCATTTTGTTATTAAAAGCGTTAAATATTGTAACCTAGTTTGAAAATTTAATTCTTAAAAGAGAACTACGGTTGTTTCCCTGCTTCAGCACTACATACAATTTTCGGTTAATTATCTTGACTAGTTAATGTTGCCTCACCCTCAAGAAACGAGTCCCGATCATAATGGATCACTAGACCATTGAGCTTTCGGCTGAAAGGTGTAAGCTTAGCCCTTACCACCGCACGATTTAGAGGATACCTTAAATCAGTTCAAGGATCATTGCAGCAGTCTCACTTTCAGTAAAAAATGAATTTATCAATTTATCAAAACTAATACTAATGAATTTATCAAAACTAATACAATGTGTCAGGTATATCAAAATATGATATTTTTTTGCCTTGTGTAATTTACTTTCATAATTATAATTGGTTTAGACGCTGCTTCAATTTTGCATTTTCGGCATGCATCTTATCAATTCTCTTTTTCATTTGGAATGCCTTGCCTTCTAAAATGACATCCTCACATCCATCTTCGGGATCCAATGCCATTCGTCTCAGCTCTTTCTGCCTGAGTGCTCGGTTCTCCATAAATACCTTGTCCAATTTGAAATTCTGACTCGTCAAAGTGCCTCTCTCTTTCTGATGCAATCTTTGAAGCACGAATAGCTCCCGTTTGCGTCCTGTTAGGTAGTCTTTAATCTTCTCTGCTCTTTCGAGGTCTTTCAGAAGCTCCAAGTATTGTGACTTCAAATCATCAAGTTCATTTTGCTCTTCAGTTGCAAGGTGTTCCAAGTATTCTTTCCTTGAGTTTTCGTCTTGTAGCTTAGATTTCATTCGCTGCCATTCCTTCTCTTCTTTTTGCTTAAATTTAGCCATCTTCTCTTTTATTTGCTGTGAATAATGATCGGAATCTGAATGTTCGAAGTGCTTCGTGAGCGTTTCAAGTTGCTCTTTGAGTTCGTCAAGCTGTTTTTGTGTTCTCGCTAATTTCTCCCTTTGTTCCTGCTGTAATCTCTCCTTCATTTCAATCGACTGATCTATATCAGAGTCCGATTTTGACACCGCTAATAGCGGTATGTTGCCTACTACAGAATGACTCGCAAAATATTAGCGATTTTATTAGCTATTGTGACTTGTTTGCCTTTCATTTCTTTCATTTCAGTTGTCTGACATTTTTTTTTGTGGTGGTGGTATAGTTTGCGAATCGTGGATGTTTCTTGGAAAAACTATGCACTTTTACAAAATAAGACAATTAGTAAAAAAAAAATAGTTTATCGATTTTTTATTGAAGCACTGTACAGCTTAGCGGTTTAAATTGGCGGTGTCAAAATCTTGGTCGACATTCTAACTTGGCAGTTGTGAGTTGTTTTTGGCAGTACTGGTTTTGATCCGGTTTACGATGCTGGATATTGCGCTTTTTTGAAACTCTTCGGCTTCGTGGAAGCGCAAAGCAGAAGTATTCATGACTAAATAGTTTTTAAGTTAAATTTGCAGTCACCTGTTGGCGAAGTATTGTGAGCTATTTTAATTATCTTATAGAAATGTTTAATTCCACAATAACAATTTGCCATTTGGAAATTAAGTTTCGTAGAGGTGTTCCGAAACATGTCAAATAGCCCTAGAATCCCTTGAAACTTTATTCCTTGAAATGTTATCTAACTTTTAACAATCAACGAATTATTGAAATTATGACATACTTTTGGGTTTTATTGAAGTTTTTTCTCGGTTTTAAAATGGATTGAATTGTGTGCGTTTTTTGAGATAACAGAATACTAATTTTCTAACCTCTCGAATCTTCGAATATAGACCCGGCCGGTCCCCTCAGCTTGGACATGTTTAATTGAGTGCTCGCTCTTCGAAAAATGGGAGGCTTAGATCCACTCACTACTGCTGAACTATTCACATTCGGCCTGAATCCCAAAGCACCTTGAAAAGATTGGTTTTTCACGGTTGAGGTATTGAGTGTTTCCTGGCCTGCACTTTTAGCTAGTTCCATAAGAGAGCCTCTTCGAAATGGTTGACTGGTGTTTTGCATTAGAGTGCTGCTCCTCGTCATCGAAGCATTTCGGGAATCTTGGAACGAAATCATTACGACACAGATTACCTTCAGTATCAGTTCATAGGGCGCGATAAATCAAGAAATCAGCATAAATTGAATCGATAAATGAATCGCATTGGAATTCTTTATGGTCTAATTTGTTGGTTTTATGCGTGCAATGAATTTTTAATGAATATAGGCATAAGTTGTATTTGTTTTGTGTATATAAAAACAGAATAGTTTTGCTTTAAGATGTAAATATGACATTCGTTCTTCTCTGCCGTCAGCCGAAGTGTTCAAGTAAGTGAGCGCTTTGAAATCATCCGTCACTAGTAAACTACATTAGAACAGTGGCTTTGAGTCTCTGCGGTACTTGCTGCTGTGTGCGACAACTGTGTCGAAACCGAGTGTATCACCGAAGTGATTCGGAATCCGAGTATCAGAACCAAGGAGGAGTCATTTCAGTAACACAAGGAGAAAAAGAGAATAGAGGAACAAGCATGAATATGGCTCATTCACACCAGGCCCTTCAGTTTAAGCAGGAGGGAAATAAATTCTTCGGCAAGAAGAAGTACGAATCAGCTGTGGATTGTTACTCAAAAGCGATCAAACTAGACCCGAAAGTACCCCAGTTTTATACTAACAGGTAAATAAATACTTTTTCTGAAGTAAGAGCGGATTTAGTTGTCAGCCATGAATTAATGCGCATTTTGAATGTGAGACTTCATATTTAGAATAGTTTCTGTTTCCTTTGATTATTTAATTGATGAGATTAATCGGGAGATATTAAAGTGCTATTGTTCCAACAAAAAATATGGGAAGGAGCGTGTATTCGGGTATTTTTTCGTCGATAAATCAGGTACTTCAAATAAATTTCAGATGAGATTGCGCTTTGTATCATTTTGAATCTTTTTTTACCCGTGATTCGAATCGTAATTAAGAAATCCGTTGTCGATACAAAGTGGTTTGAAGTTTTCGCTTTTTGGGCATACTTTAGACGAGAAAAATGAATGTAGTCAGAACGTTTGGTGCTGCGTGCGACGCTCTGTGCCCTGGCAAATAACAACAACAACAGGAACCGGCTTGTTATTCCGTCTTTCGTATAACAAAAATAACGGAATATTTGTGCTCGGGTGGTTTTTTTTTCTTCAAACAAATTTGGACTTTGTAACTAGTCATTTTTGACGGAGTTTTTTTAATCATTCAAAAGGTATTGTTGTCGGAGATTGAATCCAACTTACCCGTAAGCGGAGATTTAATCCAAGTTAGAAATCGTTCCAAATTGATTAAAGGAAGCTTATTTGCCATAATTTATTTGTTACTAGGACTAGGAGCGAAATCTATCACTTTATGCCGCGTGGGGTGATGATTTTCACATAAAAGCTCAAATTAAAAAAATATATATTTTTATTTTATTACATTTAATTTCGGAACATTCAGGGACATTACAATCGGAACATTCAGGGCTTCGCCCTGATACGAGCAGTCTTGTTTGTTTTATATCAGAGTGTTTAACGGATATTAATCGTCTCATGCTCAACTTCTGCAAGGATGCATGCAGGGAAATGTTTCGATTCGATAGCATAACTGAACTAAAAATTCAAGTTGAGAAAGAAAATGAATTCCTAGTTATCAATTGGTTGAAGCTGAGATTTTACTAATATTGGGCCACGGTTATCGTTAGCTGTCACAATAATTTAGAGCCTTGTGCTACCTGAAACTGCAGAGTTGGCAAAAGGCAGTATCGGACTGTAGATGTGCCCTTGAGATGGATCTCAAATCAGTCAAGGCCTACTTCTTCCTCGGACAGGCGCTCTCAGAACTGGACTCCCTTGATGAAGCTTGCTCCTGTCTGCAGAAAGCATACCAACTCACTAAGGTACGGGAATCGCACATCGTTTTCTTGGTAAGATTTTGAAGTTTAAAGAAAATCCAGTGGTTTGTAAGAGGTTCCGTTTTGAATTGCAATCAGTTTTCCAAATAAAATATTGGTTCTCCACAAAGTGTTTAAAAATGGGACTACCGAATTCTAACTCCAGAGCAGTACCTTATCAAGAGATTGTGGGGCATTTTCGCTAAATTTGGTTTCGGCATTGATTTAGAAATTCGAAATGGCTGACAAAGGCCGCAAAATTTATCAAAACACCGCCTAAGTTCAAGTGCAAAAAAGATTGAACATGGTTATTTTTTGTAGGAGCTGGACATGAATGTCGGTGATGAGTTGGCGAATACCTTGAGACAAGTGAAGAAAAAGCGCTGGCTAAAACTGGAAGAAAAGCGGATGAAACAAGAAATCGAATTAGAAAAATATTTAATCAAACTTGTCGAAAGAGACTTTGAAGAGAAGGCTAATGTCAGTTCTAAAGTTCCAAATGATTCTGAGAGTTCGGAAACACATGCTGAAGTTTCAATAGAAGATTCTAAGAAGGCGAAGGAAACCAGAATCAATGAAGTTTTGGATCTTTTCAGACAAATTGACGAGCGGAGACAAAAGCGAGAAGTGCCCGATTTTTTGTGCTGCAAAATCAGTTTTGAATTGCTGGAGGATCCAGTCGTTACTCCGAGTGGAATTACATACAATAGAAAAGAACTGGAGGAACACCTTCAACGTGTAGGTCACTTCGACCCGGTCACGCGCGTTGCTCTCACTCAGGAAAAACTAATCCCGAATCTGTCCATAAAAGAGGTAGTCGAGGACTTTATAGCAAATAACAAATGGGTCGACGGTTACTGAAATCACGGATGAAGTTATTATGTTTTCACAATTTTTTCTTTTTTGAAGACTGGTTTGACAAGAATCTCATGAGTTGATGTTTTATTGATTGATTAATACAGCCTTAGAGTAATTTATATATGGACAATTAAACTTTAACTGAAATCGAATCATAATTAAAGTTTATATTGGTGAAATTGTGCATAACGCTTCGACCAGCAAGATTTCAGCTCAGCGTAATTTTGATCCAGCTTTTGATAATTTCATCATCAGATTCTTAACAAAGATTTGATAATAATAGCTATCAGCTTATACCTGGTCCGTTGTAAAACCGTGTTCTAACAATATTGACACGAATATCCGCGTCCACTCAAATTATGCATATTGTATGTTATAGGATCAGTTAAAACTCTTGTGACTTCGCCCGATAAAAGTCCCATTCTTGAGATTTTTCTGACACTTGCGACAGCGCAGCACGTGTAGTAAAATCGGGTGACAGTTTTTTCTGTTTTACAATTTAGTCTAAGCACGTATTTGATCAAGTGCTTTTAATAAATAAGTATTTACACTAGCGTCAGCTAAGTGTATTATTAAAAACCTTTTTTTTTCGAACCTAGGTTGCAAATGTTGGTGCCACTTTTCGGGCACCTTTACAGCTTTTTGATAGCATGTGCTCTGACATTCGAATAGTAGTAATTTAACTCAGTTGGTGCATTTTGATTTCATCAAATGAACCGAAATAAGTGATTTGTTTCAAACAACATAACAATCATAAAAGCTTGATTTCAAAATTTTTCTTACTCAATGTATCTCGCAATTTTTTTGAATTGCATAATTTATACACAATGTGGCTTTATGCTTTGCGATTTGTTACATGCAAAGTTAGTGGGATGCCTTCAGTTTGTTATACTCCAAATTATTACTTGCAACACTGTGTCCATTTGTATTTAGTGCCACTTGTCCTGCATTGCATTGGCAATTGTTTAGCATATGTAGCTGCTTTATTCGCGTGCTTTATTCGGTGGTTAAGCGTGGGTGACTGAGTGGTTAGTGCATGAGACTCAATTTCTCTTGATTGCTGTTGTTCGCAGATTGATTTATTTTTGACCTAGCTGAATTTTTGCTAATTCGAGGCTTATATATATTTTTTCTTATTGCACTTTGTAGAGCTGCTTTTTGGTCGTGTTCTGGCTAGTGCCTGCGAAGCGAAGCTTCGCCTCTGTGTTAAATTATTTGATAAAACATTGATAACGACATTAAAAAATATTGAAATTATTTCTCAGTGTAGCAAAAAATCAGTTTGAAACTTCTGATTTTGGGTCTAATTTCGAGTGATTAAGGTGAGTGAGTAGGCTTATTTTGTTTTTCAATCAAAATCTTTTTTTAAAAATTATCGGAACGGGTCGAATGGTTTAGCATATTAAAACCCTTTCAATCCTGATTCGAACTTTAAAAAAGGTTCGATAAGTTGTTCCAGTGTCGAGAAAAACCGGTTTGAAATTTTTGAGCTTTAGTCTTATTTCGAGGGATTAAAGCAAGCGAGCAGGCTTATTGTAGATGGATACGCCATGAAATTTTGATAGATTTTTTGAAGTTTTTAGCGTCATTTTTGCATAAAAACTTCAAATAATTTCAGCATAAAAAATTGAAAAAAAGAATTTTTTAAAATTTGTTTTGAGTTTTGTTTTCGTTTTTTTCTTGTCATTTTTTGACAGAAACCGATGCCCGATCCGCCTATTTTGCTCTGACTGTCGAATATACCTAGCATTGCAATCCAACCACTATTCAGCTTTTATGTCTCAGAATTCAGAGATTTCTTCTGAAGCCAAAAAGTTTCAGGTTTTCTACAGAAATTTCAGGTTTTCTAAAAATTTCAAGTTTTCTCCAGGTTTTCTAATCTTTGGGTTTTCTACAGACATTTCATCACACCAGGCCCAGAAAACCACTTGAAAAAAGCTTTTAATGTACTTTTTAAGAATATGGTTGGAACATTCTGAGCTACTTGCTTATCAACCGGCTAGCCTTATTTTCGTTTAATTGTGTTATTTTCAGAGGGTTTTGCTGTTGTTGCGTAGTTTTTTATGTTGGCGGCATTTCGTTTCGGGACAACTGCTTTATCTCGAATGAAACTAAAAACTTGTAATTAGATGTTATAAAATCTTTCAAATTAGTAATTAGCATGATGTCAAACTTCTTCAAAGTGAATAAGGTATTTTGATGTAATTTTTTTGGCTTTAGAAGAAGTAACATGTAAGCTGATTAGTTGTTGCATTGCAATGCTGTGTAATTGGACAGCTATATAGACCATCATTTCGTTCAAAGGATATCAAAATCGATTTTTGTGCGCAACAGTTTTTGAAATACTTTTTTTCTGAAATGGTTTTTATGGTCTGCCAATATTTCTTTTAATTTGCTTGTTAATCCAGTACATTAGTTCATTTTTACGCTTGCGATTAGTAAGAATTATTTAATCATAAAGGCAATGGTTATGTCTCAAGAGATTTGCGAAATTTATACTCATTCTTGAAAAAATTTTCTGTAATGGATTTTTTGTCATTTCATGTTTTTCGCTAGTGATTCGAGGCTCCGCTTCACCTTTGTGTCGAAGCATGTGCTTTCATCGTAATTTTTTTCCTTAGTATAGTTGACACATAATTTTTTGGGCGTTAGCAAAATGTACTCTAATAGCCATTTTGGGCGTTAGCAAAATGTAGTTTAATACTCAGTAATGTATTTTTTTTTGAGCTGGTGAGTGAATGCAGTGCCAAATTTTCTAGTGAAGACACTTACTTAGGTAATGTGGTTTTTATTTTAGGTAAAAAGTCATTGTTACGCAAAATGGTGACTCTTTTAACGATGATAAGGTTTCCCTTGGTAAAAAATATTTTCGAATATGCTAATTACTACAAAACATTCTTTTAATAGACTTCGGCTTTGAATTTGGCAAGTCTAATACCAAAAAGGCGCCTTGGTGATTTTTTGTTGCTCGTGTATTTATTTTATTTATAAATGAAAAAAGGATAGCCGGTTACTGTACAAGTAGCACAGAATGTTTCGACCATTGTCTAAAACATTTTTTTTTCTCTAATTTTTTTCAAATTAGTGTCGTTTTTTTCTGCGTGGTCTGAAAAGGAACGAAAAACTGGATCTTAGGAACATTCGACAGTCATAGTAAACTAAGCAAAAAATTGTAGAAGGTGACTGGAAAAAATATTTCCAAATGGCGCTAAAAACTCCAAAAGTAACTTTATTTGAGTAAAACTAAGTTTTCATAGCCTAAATTAAGCAAAATAAGTGAAAACGTTTTGATTTTATCTCCATTGAGATTCAATTTGAATTCGTAAAGAAAGCCAAATTGCGCTCTCCAGTGTCGTGAACGGGGTTGACAGCCTGCTCGCTCGCTTTATTTGCTCGAAGTTAGACAAAAATTTTAAACCTGTTTTCTCGATACTGGGACAACTTTTTGGAAAATTTTTAATGTCATTCGAAACACGATGGAAAGGTCTTCAAAATGATATATCACTCGACCCATTATCATAACTTTTTGTGATTCCTGATTTTGCGTGGAAAAGCAAAAGAAAAGAAGAACTAAAACACCAGAATACAAAGTTCCTCCGAAACAAAAACGAAACTGGTCAATGAACGAAGTTAGTGTGATTTTTCAGACAAAGCTATTGAAACTTGTTCACGACCAATTTTGATTATATTTGCTTTGAGGTTCAATTGGAATTCGTCATTTGCGTAAAGAAAGCCAAATTACGCTCTCCAACAAGCAAATTGCAAATGGCGCAAAAAAAAACGTGATTGATTTTCTAGTTTCGAACTTTAATTTTTAGTTTTTCTCAGCGGAAAAAATCACCCATTGATCTGGCTTTATTGGCTTAGATTTATAATCAGTTGAAATTCAGCGTCTTGTTTTTGGAAAAAGACAAAAAAATTTTAAAATTAGTTTCTGCGAGTTTTTATACTTATTTTTAGGAAGATTTTTTTGCCTTTTCATTATACTCTTATTCAGAAGAAACGTTTTTTTTTGAAATTCTGATTTTATCTGATCGCAAAAGTTTGAAAACAAAATCAACGCTGATTCCCGTTTTTCACAAATGATTATTTCTCCTGGTTTCAATTTGAGCTTTTATGAATGATATGTTTTAGAGAACGGCCAGAAAAGGTTCATGATGTGTAAGACTTAAGATCATCTATTTTAAAATTTATTTGAAGAGTCGCCAATTTTTTTTCAATTGTTATAAATCAGATATCTCTAAATTAGTTCAACTGCTTCAAAAAATTTACGCTAAAAACGGAACCTTGTAAACATGTTTGTATGTATTCAAAAATGTTTTTTTTTTAGATTTGAAATGAAAAGGATTTTGGATTTATTGCACAAATCAGGCGTCGCGTTTCTAGCAGTGTCTACTGTTTACGTTTTGGCATCAGCTGCTTCCCTCCTACCAGGTGCAGCTGTCTGGAACAAAGAAAAACTGGCCATCGATCAAGCCAAAGCGAGGGATCTTCAGAAAACTACGTCTGATCATCATGCAAGGTGAAGAAAACATAGTCGAGTCCAACAAGTAATTTTGCTCTTGATAATGAACTTGCTATTGTGTTTACTTTTCTAATAAAACTTTTACAAACTTGTATAGAATTATGAATTTAAAAATTTTGCAAGCATCTAGATTGGGCTGTGGTGAAAATTAAACTTGTTTGTCGTATTGCTACCCTTGCCATAAGCAAGGGTATTGCAATCGGGTACTAGACTTTTTCCCGTAAAAAAACTTAATTCACAGGACTCGTATAGAGTCATCTCTACCTTGTATTCAAATTTCTTAGCGTTCCCGGCTAACTTAGCTTGGAGAACACGAATAAGCCTGGGAAGGCAAAGGTCCCGGGTTCGAATCTGACCAGGACCTGTCTTTTTCTTCAAACGGGAATAATAAATCAGTTTCAAATAAAATCATCGGCCAATTATTTGTCTGCTTTTCTGTTGGCGGCTTAGTTGTCTTATCTTGGAGTCGTTTTTTTGCTGCGCACTTTTTTTTTAATGTTGCTTTAATTGTTTGGTTTACACCTACAATTTGTATTTTTACTTGCCTCGACTTCGTTTTTCATTCGTAGTTTTTTTTGTTTCGCTTAAAAAATTCCTCGGCTCAAATTATTTCGGCTTATTT